AAGATTATACACCATGACCAAGTGGGATTCATCCCAGGAATGCAAGGATGGTTCAACATACGTAAATCAATAAATGTAATCCACCATATCAATAGAGCCAAAAATAAGAATCACATGATCATTTCTATAGATGCGGAAAAAGCCTTTGATAAGGTCCAACATTTATTCATGATAAGAACTTTACAGAAAATTGGAATAGATGGTCTTTACCTCAATATAATAAAGGCCATTTATGACAAACCAACAGCCAGCATCATACTAAATGGCCAAAAATTGAAAGCCTTTACTTTAAAATCAGGCACAAGACAAGGATGTCCTTTATCACCACTCCTATTTAATATAGTACTGGAAGTACTAGCCAGAGCAATTAGGCAAGAGAGAGAAATAAAAGGGGTAAAGATAGGAAAAGAAGAAGTTAAATTATCATTGTTTGCAGAAGACATGATGCTCTACATAGAAGACCCCCCAAACTCCATTGAAAGACTCTTAGATACAATAAATGAATTCAGTAATGTGGCTGGATACAAAATCAATACTCAGAAATCAATAGCATTCCTATACACGAACAACAAAATCACAGAGAGGGAAATAAGAGAAACCACACTCTTCACATTAGCAAGCAAAAAAATGAAATATTTAGGAATTACTCTTACAAAAGAAGTGAAAGATTTATACAGTGAAAATTATAATACACTGAAAAAAGAAATTGAAGATGATCTCAGAAAATGGAAAGACATCCCTTGCTCATGGATAGGAAGAAGAAACATTGTGAAAATGCCCATTCTTCCAAAACTGTTATACAGATTCAATGCAATCCCAATAAAAATACTGTCAACATACCTTATAGATCTAGAAAAATCACTCCTAAATTTCATCTGGAACCAGAAGAGAACTAGAATAGCAAAGGCAATTCTAAACAGCAAAGACAAAGCAGGAGGCATCACAATCCCTGACTTGAAATTATACTACAAAGCAACAGTAGTAAAATCAACATGGTATTGGAATCAAAACAGAGCCGAAGATCAATGGAATAGATTAGAAGATACAACCACAACTACAAACACACTCAACCACCTTATCTTTGATAAAGGAGCCAAGCAGGTTCACTGGAAGAACGACAGTCTCTTTAATAAATGGTGCTGGAAAAACTGGCTCTCCCATTTGCCGAAAACTAAAGCTAGACTCATGTCTATCACCATCTACTAAATTAAAATCTAAATGGGTCAAAGATCTGAATATTAAAACAGAAACACTAAATCTATTGGAAGACAAATTGGGTAGAAACCTTGAAGACATAGGAATAGGTAGAGAATTCATGAACAGGACTCAAACCACATGGGAAATACTTCCCAGAATCAATAGCTGGGACCACTTCTTATTAAAAAGTTTCTGCATGTCAAAACAAATCTCCAGCATAGTAAAAAGAAAACCCACAAACTGGGAAAAGATTTTAGTGAACTCTCCCTCAGACAAGGGACTCTTGTCTAAAACATATAAAGAATTAAAAAAACTCAGACCCCCAAAATTCAAAGATCCAATCCAAAAATGGGTATCTGAGATGAATATGCACTTCTCAGATGAAGAAATGCAAATGACAAATAAATACATGAAAAAATGTTCATCATCATTAGTCATTAGAGAAATGCAAATTAAAACCACACTGAGATACCATCTCACCCCTGAAAGAATGGCCAGGATCAAGAAAACCAACAATAACAAATGCTGGAGAGGCTGTGGGGAAAAAGGAACTCTCCTACACTTTTGGTGGGAGTGTAGACTGGTGCAGCCTTTGTGGAGGTCAGTCTGGAGATTTCTCAAAAAGCTGGGATTGGAAGTCCCATTTATTCCAGCTATTCACTTCTAGCCATATTCCCAGAAGAACTGAAAGCATCATACCACAGTGATATATGTGCACCTATGTTTATAGCAGCACAATTTGTAATTGCCAGATCTTGGAAACAACCCAAGTGTCCATCAACTGAGGAATGGATAAAAAAGTTGTGGTATTTCTATACAATGGAGTATTATTCAGCTATACAGAAGGATCACATTGAGATATTTATCAATAAATGGGCGCAGCTTGAGACCATACTCATAAGTGAAATAAATCAATCTCGCATGTATGAATACCGAATAGTTTCCCTAATGTAAGTAATGATTCAAATATATAAAAATATGTGGTAATCATGATTCCCCATTATGTGGCCTTGAAGCCATATAAAGTTTTCACTTATTAATTGGAAAGGCTTTATTCTGGGCTTCTTGATATGGAAATACTTGAAGCTATAGTATATGAAGTTTTATTCAAATATTTCAAGGAAAAAGACAGACACTATGGTAACTACTATTAAGTCGGGTTATTTGGTGGTGAACCACTAGGTTGCTGAAACAGTCATGCTTTGATCTGTATTTTTATATTGTTATGTCCTGTTTTATCTCAATCTCTGCTTTATTCATTAAAAAATTTAGTTATTTTTTTATGTTTTTTTAATTAAGGGGAAAAATTTAAAAAATTAGCAGGGTATATAATAGTAACTTTTTTGATTTCCTATTAACTTGTTTTGAAGTCCTGTAATACTCCCACTATCTTGTTTTGACTGATTAGACTCTGTTCCATTCTGTATGATAGTGTCAAGTTTGAGGGTATAGGCAACTACTTTGAAGGCAGTAAGATTCACTAAGATGCCCATTCTGGTTTGACTATTGTTTCCTTTGGAAGTCCTGTAATGTTTACAATGCTTAAGTTTTATTGGTCTTGTTCTCTACTGTTTTGTTCAACTTTATAATATATAATGAGATAGACAATTCTTTTTAAGGAAACAAGAGACATTGTTGATAACCTTGTACTCTGTTTTACATCATGTGCTATACCTATCCTTGGTTTGACTGACAGCTTTGTTTTGCCATATTTGACTTTATTCTCTCCCCCTCCGCAAAAGTAGTAAGAACTAAGGAGTAATAAAACCCAAAATGTGTAAATTTTGTTGTAAAAAAGAGAGGGAAAAAAAAGAGTTCTAAAGGATACAACAGCAAGAGTGTTTAGGGGTGTTAAATAGCTGACCATATTAATGTTTTTGGTTGGATCATTGAACACAACTGTTTGCAGTCTCACTGTTTGAGTTCCACTTTGTATGCTTTGATACTGTGATTTGAGCAACTATCTCTAAGATGATAATATGTAATCTATTAACCGGTGATTTATTACTTTTTTTTTTTTTTTGTAGTTCTGTATTACTGGTACCCTTACATTGCTTTGTTTTGTTTTGTTTTTTCTCTTTTTCCTTTTAAATAAAATTAAAAAAAAAAAAAGAAAAGAAAAGAGGGTTCTAGTGAGATGATCCCAGAGGCTCTTTGTTAAAGGGCAGTTTACAAAGTAAAATTACAATGCAGGTACAAGATAGCTCAAACTACAACTGACCTATGCAGTTACAAGTTAATACAGACCCCATACGGGGGGTGAAGCATGTACCAAGGTTATATAGTGAGCATCATTCATCACTAATGTTAGCTTATCTCTAACTTCTTTTTTTTTTTTTTTTTTTTAATCTTTTTCCTTTTTATCGGTACCGGGGATCAAACTCACGACTGCCTGCTTGGAAGGCAGGCGCTTATGCCACTGAGCTAAATCCCCCGCCCCAGCTTATCTCTAACTTCTAAAGGTGTGGCAATATGGTCCCAGATCTTCTAGTTACCCAGCTATGTATCTGAAGACCATATGGGCTCTCTGGACCAGGTGGTGCTAATTAGAATATGCTGCCATCTCAAGTTACGCTTTATCTCTAGGGAGGCTAGCAGCCATGGTCATTCCATTTGGATCCTGACCCCTGTTGCTCTTCCGATTTGCCTCCAACCTCAACCTTGATGTTCCTCACCCCTTTCTGACTGCTTATTAATTTCTAACTTAGTTGTCTGTAATACTGTCTTCAAATGGTATCTCAAAGCCAACCACTTTCCACGAACCTTGTAAAAGTTAATGGGACTCCTTGCTTATTTGCAAATAAGTCTTAAAGGGCTACCTTATCTGGCCCCCACTACCTCTTGCCATTCTTTTCTTAGTCCTTTCATTTTAGCCCCGCCAGCCTCCTTATCAGCAACTGCTGCTGCCAGTCCAACTCATAATCAGCAGCCAGAGTGACCTTTTTTACTTTAAATACACAACCTATCACTTCTTAACGTATTCCATTTTTCTTAGAATATAATCCTTGTGATAAGCTCCCAGAGTACACTTCACATATGGGGTCCTCAGTGCCTCCAGAGCTTTCCTAAGTGGTAAATTGCAGTGGGTCTCAGGGCCTTTGCATGTTAAAGGAAAGCCTTTCTTAGCATCAGAGGGTGTGTCCTCTCATCCCAACCACTTCTAGACAATACTCCGGGGTTCCTCCCTAGCTTTCTCCTGCCCTCTATTTTCCTTCAACATACATATCATTACCAGGCAGTGTGGCATAGATTTGCTTGTTTCTGTCTTGCTCTACATAATGTGAGCCTCAGAAAGGCATTTTTCTTATTTCTTTCTGAAAGGTATGCCTCACTACCAGTCCGTGTGACATATGTTTGCTTGCTTTTTTTTTTTTTTTTTTTTTTTTTGGTATCGGGGCTCAAACTCACGATTTAGTTTGTCAAGCAGGCACTTGCGCCGCTGAGCTAAACTCCCGGCCCCTTTGCTTGATTTTGTCTAGCCCTATATAACCTCCTTTTAGCGGGGTCAGCCCTCGTTGTTGTCCAGGTCGGCTAGGAACGTTCGTTGGACACAAGTCACCTCTCGCCTCAGATGGCGCCTCCGCGTCCAGCTGGAAAGCGTTCCTTCGGTTCGGTGCCCAATTCTAACCCCAGAACACAGCCGAAAATTAGTACATACTCGCAGGGACGCTAGAACCTTCTGAAACTAGCCAGAGTTTTCCCAGGATGCTCTTTGTCTTGCTTCCCTGCAAGGGGCACTTGCGCATGTGGGGCACGCGGGGTACCATGGGTAGTCCCCTTCCGGACTACGACTCCCATGGTGCTGTAGGGCGGCTGCCAGCCCGCCGGTCAGCCGCCAGGTCGCGCCGGAGCGAGAAGATGGCGGACGTGGCCGTAGGCAAGGATAAATGCGGGGAGCAGCGGCTTGTCTCGCTGCCCTTGTCCCGTATCCGGGTCATCATGAAGAGTTCCCCCGAAGTGTCCAGCATCAACCAAGAGGCGCTGGTGCTCACGGCCAAGGCCACGGTGAGGCGGCCCACACGCCGGGAGGAGCGAAACTGGGGAGGGCGTGGGCGTCCTTAACCGCCGCATCGGCCCCCGAGGGACTGTCACTCCTCTTCGGCCCTAGCACCATGGGCGGTCCCGCTGAGGTCGCGCGCCTCACTCCCGCCCCGGCGCGCACCCTAGACGCGGCTCCCGTCGTCCCCCTTGATTCCCCTGGCACGCCCATCCGCGCGCTCCCGCCGTCCCCCGCGGTTTTCCCTTGCCTCGCCCAATCTGGCCGGCGCCGCCGCTCTCCCGCGCTTCCCGCTTATCACGCCCCTTAGTGTAGCTTTCGGTGGACCGCACGACAGGCGAATTGGCTAGTGCGGCTCTCTGGCGTCATGATACTCGTAGCTGCGAAGATTTTCCTCTTTTAACTTCCTGCTAGCTTTGTAGCTCGGGACCTCCACTCCCAAGCCTTCGTCGCAAGCTGGGCATTCTTACTGCACTGGCGGAATCTGCTGGCAGTGTCTCGGCATCCTCTCATTCTTTGTCCACCAGACCTTGCTCACTGCGAGAACAACCCAACCCTTCACCGACTCCAGGGAGCTGATTTTTACATTACTTGCCCCTCTGCTGGGGCCAAATATTTCTGTTTTCTTCCTTTTTTTTTGGTGGGGGAGGAGAGGAATCTGTCTTCAGAGCACTTGCAATTACACGGTGTGTGACTGCCCTTATTTTATCTTTTTAAAATTTGGATAGACCAGTAGCGTTCTTGTTCTGAGACTTGGCCATGTTTAAGCTGCACAGTTAACTGCTTTAGCTTTCTCTGGATTGTTTTACTGCCCATAATTTAGTGTTGGGCTGTGGCTAAACGAAATTTTAGTTACAAAATGGAGTTTTGTTGTCTTGTACCATAGCCATACTGTAACGCCTGGGAAAATATAAAAGGTCTTACAAGCTTGGTTCCAGGACCCCCACTTACATTTCCTGGATGCCCTTATTTAATAAAATTGTATGGTATTTGTGTGTAACCTAGTGAGATCCACGAGTATACTTTATATCTACAAGGTGACTTGGTACAGTAATTGTGTATTTCCTGGTACAGTAATTGTGTGATCTTGGGTCATACAATTTCATTGTTAGTATTAAGGAACTTAAGAGTTAGTGCAGGCGTCCATTACTAAACAGTATGTATAAATTGAGAGGAAGAGGCTCAGTTTAATTTGTTTTGGGATACTCTGAGAATTTATAAGGGGTGATAAAAGTACATGGTAGGTTTTTTTTTTTGTACTCGAACTCACGATCTTGCGCTTGCCAGGCAGGCGCTTGTGCTATTGAGCTAAATCCCTAGCCCATGGTAGATGTTTTTAAAAGTTTAATTATAGAACTACTGCAAAGTGGTGAGAACAGTCGGATATGTTCTAAACGAGGGAGAATATTTTGAGATAGATTAATGGCAGTGTGACTTTAATACATTTTAAAAAATTTAAGTATTCATCAAATTTTTTGATCACACTGCAGAGGTCTGTTCTCAGCATGGAAGATGCTTTTCTGGTTAAAATATAGTATGTCAGTTTTCATTTTCAGGTTGTTGACTCTAGTTGTAATAGGTGTACTATCTTTAGATGAATTCAAATAGAAGATTACAAATGTGTTTCTGCAGGGACAACGATATAGCTCAGTGGCATAAGTGCCCTCCTGGCAAGTGCAAGGTCCTGAGTTTGCTTCCCAGTACCAAAATAAATAAAGTGTATTCCTGAGCCAGATACAATTTTTTTCCCTAGTGCTGAGATTAGACTTAGGCCTCACTCAAGACAGGCAAGTAGTCTACCACTGAGCTAAAGTCCTGATCTGTTCCTCCTTCCTTTCTCTGTAGAGGTTCATTGTTATGAATCATTGTTTCTGGTCACTTGTAAATACTTTACATAAGTTAGCACATCTAGACAAGGCTCTGGAAAATGTCCATCTCCCTTCCAACTTGGGTCACAGCCTTGCTTTCTCATATTTCTTGCTCCTGTAAAGTGATTTTCTGTAATTTAACTTGAGGAACTTAACATATACACTTTTTTTTATTGGTACCGAGACTCAAACTCATGACCGCGTGCTTGCAAGGCAGGAGCTTATGCTGCTGAGCTACATCCCCAGCCCCAACTATTAATGCCATATGAAAAATTAGCTCTCTGGTGAGTTTTTAAAGCACTCCTTTCACGTTACTTTTTCATTTTATTTTAGGAGCTCTTTGTTCAGTATCTAGCCACCTATTCCTACAGACATGGCAGTGGAAAAGAAAGGAAAGCACTGACTTACAGTGATTTAGCAAACACTGCAGAGGAATCAGAAACTTTTCAGTTTCTTGCAGGTATTTAATCTTTGAAACATTCTGTTTTAAAAATGCCTGGTAGGCAGGCATGATGGTGCATGCGTGTAATCCCAGCACTTAGGAGGAGATAGGAGAATTTCTGAGTTCAAGGCCAGCGTGGGCTACTTAGTGAACTCAAGGCCAGCCTTAGCTACACAGTGAGGCCTTGTCTCAAAAGAAAAAAAAAAAAAAAAAGCCTGGTAATTTGAGGTTTTCCCCTCTTGGTTTTGTACTCACTGAATTAAGATATTTGACTTTTCCTTCAGGTGTCAGTTTAACATAATGTGGTATAGGGAGGTATTTCTAGTCTCCTCTGAATATAGTTGTTGTGTTGTCCGCTTAGAGCAGTAATTGAAGTGTACAGGATGCACGAGATGTTTGGTTGGCAGGGCCCCACTGTGGAAGGGAAGTTCTGTTGGGTGGATCTACTTGAACTCCTCAAACAGAAATTAATACTTGTTCTGTGGAACAGAGCCACAGGCCAAAAAGAGCTCAAGTCTACCCCAGGGACCAGGTTGGCCTATCACAGGTTAAGCAGGGGTGCTTACAAAACTAGTGCATTGAAGCACTGTGGTTTAGAGCCAGGCGTGCTGGTGCATGCCTGTAATCTCAGCACAGGAGGCGGAGGCAGCAAGACCACCTCAAGTTTAAAGCCACTATCTTCTAAATAGCAAGACACTGTCTAAAGAAAACCAATAAATGAATGAATGAACCAACCAGCCAGTGATAGTTTGCACTCAGTAGAATGGGAGCAGGTTTATAGTATCAGGAACAATCCTAGTTACCCTGTTTCATTCAGAATCATAGCCTGGATTTTGTTGTCTTTGGAACTATTTTAGAAGTCAAAATAGGAATTAGTACTTTCTGAAATTTGTACTGCTCTATTTATAGTTTATCATACTGAATTGCTGATGTAAGCCTTATGATTTTAAGATATATTACCAAAGAAGATTTTAGCTAGTAAGTACCTGAAAATGCTTAAGGAGAAGAGGGAAGATGATGAGGCGAATGATGGTGAGGAAAGTGATGATGATGAAGCCGAGTCCTAAACCACAAAAGAATCAGCCTTCGAGGATGTGTGTGGAGAAGCAGCGTTCATCTGAAGCAAGCATGGCCCTCCCTTCACTTTGGCAGCAGCTCCAGCATACTGCCTGCTTTTCTGGCATCTCTGTACCACCCTGTGATGAGCTGCAGGGACAGTGACGCCAATGACATCCTTTGACAAGGCCCATCGCAGCTGGAGGTCCTCAGGAGCGAATCCTGCCCATGGCATCACAGCTAACCCGCGCACTGAGCTGGATGGGCAGAGACTATTGTGCATCCCTTTGGAACCTGCAGACAGACTCTGAAGAGCTTCTGAATCTTGGGCAAATTTATACGTATATTCTGAAATTATTATTTGTGAACAGCTATATATTTAGTTTTAAATATATAGTTTATAAGTAGTACATTATCTTTGAATTTTTGTATTTAAACAGTTTGACAGTTTGTTAAAAAATTTTTTACTGTAAAGATGTATACTTTCATTTTCACAATAAAATGCTTTATGGAACTAGTTGTAGGGCCCTCCATTGCTCTAGTGTCTTGCTCAGTGCTTGAGAATTTAGTGAAACTTAAAAACAGGCATTGCTATGTGGGAATGTAGCTCAGTGGTAGAGTGTGTTCTTAGCAAACACAAGGCCCTGGTGTTAATCCCCAGTACCAAAATAGCAACAACAGAAACCACTTTAATTCCCAGAGAAAAATTGCAAGGGAGATTATCAGATGAAACTCTTAAAAAAAAAAATTTACCAGCAGGAACAGTGGTGCACATATGTAATCTCAGCACTTTGAGAGGCTGAGGCAAGAAAACTGTGAATCTGAGTCCGTCTGGACAACTGGTGAGACTCTGCCAGAATAAAATGAAAAAAGTTTAAAAAAAGACCGAGGGTTCAATCTACAGTATAACCACCACCACCAAAACAAAAACAAAAAAATCTGTGCATAAACATAATTGTTCTGAAGAAAATGTTTTGTATGTTGAAGATACTTTTCATCTTTCTGTTCCTTGCTTTGAACACCTAGTAATTGTTTTTACTGTCTACAAGAAAAAAGTGTTAAGCTTTATATTTTTTTCTGCATAGAGCAAATGTTTGATTCCATATTTTCAGTATACCTATCTTTAGTTTTAAAAAGTTAAAATTTATAGTTAGGTGTGATGGCACTTGACTACACTCCTGCCACTCAGAAAGCTGAGGCAGGAGAATTACCATGAGTTGAAGACCAGATTGAACTACGTAGTTGAGACCTTGTCTTAAAAGAAAACAAAACAAAGGTTAGACTTTACATCCAGTAAAATCATACTTTTGGTCTTAAGCCCAAATTTTGACAAATAGTTTTGTATTTTTTTTAGCTAGTCTTATTTTGTTACCTAGTTTGGCCTCAAACTTGTGATATTCCTGCCTGAGTTTCCTGAGCAGCTGGGATTACAACTACCTGCCACCCTACCCAGATACAAACGTGCTCGGTAGTATAGTGAACACCCAGAGTACTCCCTTGTGCTAACTGTAGTCAGCTTCCTCCCCTAGTTCTTGGCAACCACTGATATTTTCTACATTTCATTTTTTAAAAACATATTTTAAAGTAAAACATTTAAAAATTGTCTTCTTGATGTATAGTTCTGTTTTGACAAATGCAATCACATAACCACTATGATTAAGACATCCTCTGCTGATCAACCTCATTCTTTATGCTGGCAACCAGCATTGTTCTGTCACATTTGCAAAAGTCAGCAAACTTTGTGGACTGGACTATAGGTAAACAGTTTACATTTTGGAGTGTTTTGTAGTCTTTGTTGTCAACTAGTCTGCTATTATACTACAAAAAGCAGTCATGCATAATATTTAAAGAAATAGTGCCCTGTTAGATGATTTCCAGTTTTGATGATGGTTATGTCAGCTCTATACACATTTTATAGGTTTTGGGTACACACAGGATTTCATTTCACTTGACACAGACAAGCTGTACAAGTTTACAAGCAGCTACAAATCTAGTTCCCAGAGTGGCTGTGCCATTTTGCATTCCTGCCAGCAATGTGTGTTCCAGTTGTGTTTACATTCTCTACAATACTTAGTGTTAAGTTTTGAGTTTTATATATTCTTAAACCTGTTTCAGAGACAATTTATGAACAGTTTCTCCTAGCTATGGCTCATCTTATCATACTTATAAAATGGTTTTTTCATTCAATATAACAAAAGACAGTTTATCTGAAAAAAAAAAGATGAAAAAGAACTTCCATGTGCTGGTAGGGGACATCATACTGGAAAGCTCCTTGTTATACTCTGAACTGTTTGGGTCTAAGTTCTTAATTTTGAGAAGTCTGGTGCTCAGTTTTTTTCCTTTATGATCAGATCATGCCTTTTGTGTTCTGGCTAAAAATGCATTGCTAGACCTGATCACAAAGAGCTGTTTCTGTCAGTGTCTTGGGAGGACAGGTGCTATTTCTGGGTATGACAAGCTGAAGCGTCCTTAAGCTACCACAGGCACTTCAGATCCAGTTGTTGAGGAAATACCTCTCCCTGAATTCTGCTTGAACATGTGCTTAGTCATAGGAACTCTCTCACTGGCTTCCTCGCCATCCCTACAGCCTCTGTATTCCTTTGCTCTTGCATGCTGCTATTAGATTAGCAAAATGATTTCATGAAGATTAACATCTTTCCAATCATAAGTGTTAAAAAATAACTGATGTTTGCATAAGGCACTAAAGGCTGAGCCTTTCTGTGTGTGCTGTGCATACTGAATCCTCACTACTTACATAGTAAATAATCATTTTACCAAGAAAGACAGGAAGATCAGGTTGTAAGAAACACCAAGAAAATGGTGGAAATGTATCTGAAATCTCAGACTAGACTTTTAAGTGGCTCATGGAGCTTATAAAGTGGTGTCTACACACTGTTGGGTAGATCCCCAGCTTGGTATTCAAGGTCCTTGATACTGATCTCCCTCTATATTCTAGAACTTACCTGCATCAACCTTCATCTTGTGTCATGCTCCTTATCCTATATGAAATGTAAGTGGCCATCATACCTCCACCAATCGAGGAGCTGCTCTCTAGAATCCTTTCCTGATTCATTTAACAGCATCGTGCATTGCTTTTACCTTTAGGTCTCTCCAGATTGTGCCTGCTTCGGGCCATTCAATAAATGACAGTGAATAGGAAAATAACAAGGTCAGGCCATAGTAAATATATATCTCTCTCTCTCTCTATGTATGTATATATGTATGTATGTGTTGTGCTAGGAATTGAACCCAGAGCCTCATGCATGCTAGGCTGAGGATCAGACATCTACAGACATGACCACTCCCTGGGCCTTTTTTACTTAGAGCCAGGGTCTTGCTAAATTGTCAGTTGGTGCTGGGCTCTTACAGTCCTCCTGCCTAGCCTCCCAAGTGCTGGGATTACAGCTGTGTACCACTTTCTGAGTCTTTTGATTTTGACTGGCATATCATAGGGCTTCTAGCCACATAGGTGATTCCTAGTTTTGGATACTGAATGGTGTAAGATTCTAAATACATTAAGAAATAATTACATCTTAGTATCTGTGTGGGCTGAAGTGAGCATGAAATAACTAATTTTGATTTTGTCTTTTTTTAAAGGGCTATGGAGTAACAGACCAGAGTGTTGAAAGTAATTACCTACTAATGTTGGCAATTATAGACAAATCTAGCTTGCTTTAGCAACAATATACATCCTAGAGAATTTTAGCTGCTCCTACTTCCCAGTACCAGGAACCAAACCAACTGGGACTCCACCACTGAGGTATATCCACAGAATTTTTTTTTCTTTTGAAACAGTCTTGTTGAGTTGCCTCACCTAGCTTTGGACTTGTAGTCCTCCTATCTCAGCATCCTAAATAGCTTGGATGAGAGATGTGTGCCACTACAACTAGCTCTTTTTTGGGTCTCTTAACCTAGTTAACCGTCTTTCCTTTCCTAATACCACCACCACCCTCCCCTTTTTTTTTATCTTTGAGACAGGGTTTCTCTATGCTATTCAGGCTGGCCTTGAATTCACTTTGTAGCATAGGATGGTCTCGAACTTGCAATGATCCTCCTGTCTCATCCTCCCTAGTGCTGGGATTACAAGCATGTGTCGTTATGCCCAGCTCCATTCTTTTCAGTATAGCAGCAGTCAAAAACATCCCAGAGGGAGGCCATTCAGGGATTTCAGAGCAGCACAGATGTGTAGCAACTTGGCCAGGCTAAAAAGACTAAGGGGCCAGGCAGGCTAAGAACCGTGGGTTTCCACACAGCACTGAGCTCACGGCCTTTCCATGACAGGTGCAGTGGAGCAGCTTGTCTTCCTTCCTTTCTTTTTTTTAAACTGTGGGTGGGCATGGGAACACTCAACTCGCCTACATGCTACCTTGGTTCTCCCGCCTGTCCAGCTCATTCCTAAGCCGTGGGTCCTGAGGCAGTGCTCACTCTGCTGAAAGCCTCCTTCAAGGCTGCAGGCGGCACTGGGCTCCATCCTGAAGGCACCGAAACCAACCTCAGAATCTGTGCACAAGTAGACATGTGAGTAACAGGAGATCTTTGGGAAAGGAAGGTGTAAATATGAGGAATTTTATTTTATTTTTTGCTGACATACTATGAGGCAAAACAAAATTGACACTATACAAAATAACTTTATAAAATATCATTCACATCATATTTTATCAGATTTACAGCATTCTGTGCATGTTAGGGATTATGTAAGGAGGTGAAAAAACACTATGCCAAACTTTAGTATTAGTTTATATACACACAGTAAGAAACAAAACAATAACTGTTAGGTATTCCATGAATTTATTGCAAAAATAGTGCAAACTACTTAACCTAGTAAGCTGTAAAAACAAACTTGAAGGACCCAGCTAAGCTTAAACATGACAATAGATGCTCAGTATCTCAGCATTTAGCTTTCTCCACCAGTTTATCTTCCCCACTCAGACCACTCCCCACCTGTTCAGTCTAGGTGAGTGCGAGGAGTAAAGGAATGTGGAGACTGGCTCTTCAGGACCAGCTCCCTGGCTGCTTCGGTCAGCAGCACCTTTTAGCGTCATGCTACTCACTCAACGACAATGTTGTGAGGTCTGTATTGGAACATTAGAATGCCATGATTTGTAATTTTGAGCTTAGAAATAAGATATCCAACTTCTTGATGATATGGAAAAGGAAATCAAGAAAGCAGCATGAGCAGAAAGGCTTAGGAACATTACTGTCTGCTTATATAGTATCCTTTTCCTCAGGTGTTTGGGTAAAGTATTCTAATAATGTAGGGTGACCTTTGAATCAGATAATGTAATAAGTTTAAAAGAAAATAAAGGATACTATAATTCTACAAGAGTAACTTTGTATTTTCTTTCAACAGTCTATTGGGGTCCAGAAAAGCATATCTCTAAACAAAATAATAGAAGCAAAACAAAATGCTACATGTAAAAGCTAAAGAAACAAAATGCAGCATATGCAGGTTCTTTTTCTTGAGGTACCTATATAAATTTAATTACCTGCCCCCAAGTACTCTTGTTAGGTTAA